TAACGTGTACGCAGCTGTAAATAACTGTGACCGTACATTTCAAAAATTGCAAGCAATTAGATTTTTTTCTACTTTTTTTTTCTTTTGCCTTTTTCTTTTAGGAGTAGAAAAGAGCGAGTCCAGTAGCACCTTAAAGACTAACAAATTTTGTGGCAGGATAGGAGCTTTCCTGAGTCACTGCTCACTTCTTCAGGCTGGGTTCTTGCACTTTTGTACTGCTACGGACAAACACGGCTACCCATCGTGATCTATCTCCATGGAAGGTATCTGAAGAAGTGAGCAGTGACTCACGAAAGCTCCTCCCCTGCCACAAACTTTGTTAGTCTTTAAGGTGCTACTAAACCAGTGGTGGCGAACTTATGGCACGGGTGCCAGAGGGTGGCATTCAGAGCCCTCTCTGTGGGCGCGTGTGCCATCGCCCCAGCAAGGCCCAGACCATCATTAAAGTGTCGAATTCTCTGCCAAATAATTTTAAGTAAATGAAAGCATTTGGGATTGCTTTCCTTGCTTTATTTGGATCATCTTAAGTTAATGTATGAGTTGTTTTTTGTAAAGTAAAACCTCAGTATTCAGGTTAAATTGCCGTGTTGGCACTTTGTGATAAATAAGTGGGTTTTGGGTCGCAGTTTGGGCACTCGGTCTCTAAAAGTTTCGCCATCACTGTACTAAACTCTTACTCTTTTCTGCTGCTACAGACAGATGAACATGGCTACTGTGTTACCTGGCAGTTATCAGAAAGCCATGGAAATACATCTTATCTTTCTCTTTTAGGCTTTCCCTTATTTTGTTAACATATGGTTAAGCATATCTGTTGCTTGGTTAATTGATTATTTTCATTTCAAGTCCACCATTCTCACGAAGACCCAAAGGTGGATTATGGGTATAATAAAAAGGTTTCCAGTTAATGAGTAAACAGATTACAAAATATCATGAAGTTGCACAATTGGTGAATGTAATACTTTTCAATCTAACAGCAAAAATTCTTAGTAAGACAAAATAATGCAGATGTGTATAATAATAATAACAATATTGTTATCGGTGTTGTCAAAACTAATAGATTTCTACAGAGTTGCTCTGGACCGGAAGGTATGGGGACAGATACCCTTATCCAGTTTTGTGCACCTCTTCATGTACTTAAAGGGATAGAGGATATGGAAAAACTTTTAAAGGGACATAATTTGACCTTAGCTGAAAAACAACCCTTGTTTACTCTTGTTGCAGATTCTAATCTTATTATTAAGGAGGCAGACAAGGGTGGAGGCAGGGGTCATTTCCTGCAGGAGTGCACAGGAGTGGAGCTCCGGCAGTAAAGAGCCTAGGGGACGGGCACATGCAACAAGCCCCACCCCCTGCTCCCAGCAGCCCTCAGTCAGAGCAAGAAGCAGACAGGTAAGTTGCAGAGCTCCCCCGGTCCAAAACAGTCCAGTGGCACCTTTAAGACCAAGTTTTATTCAGGTACAAGCTCTCCCTCCTCTGTGAGAACAGATCTGCACGTCCGTCCCCCCCCCCAATAGCTAGCAATGCAAAACAGTCCAGTGGAGCCTGAGCGGTGGGTGTTGCCTTCTGACACACTTCCGGTTATGTCAGGGGGTGTGGCATATGCAAATGAGTTATGCAAATGAGTTATGCTAATGAGCTCCTGCACCTTTTTTTCTACGAAATGACCCCTGGGTGGAGGTATTGTAGTCATGGATAAAATGGAATATATGACCATTTTTAGGAACACTAATTAATAATACTAATCATTATACACTTTTAACTCAAGACCCAACTATGCATATCCAGAGGCTAATAAGAATTACAATTATGGAAGCTTTCAATATGAATTATATTAATGAATCAACTTATTCGTTTCTTACAGCAGAATATTCTAGAATCCCTGTGTTTTATGCATTGCCAAAAATACATAAACCAGACAACCCACCCCCTGCTTGCCCTATAATCTCTGGTGTGGGCTCAATTCTAGAGCCTTTAGCTCAATTTTTGGATCACCAGTTGCAACCTTTTGTCACAAAAATAAGAGTCTTCCATAAAGGACACAACTCACTGTATACAGTTAACTGAGGGCTTGGCAGTGTCTAAGGAGACAGTCTTAGTGATTCTTGATGTCAGAGCCTTATACATGAGCATCCCTCATGATGAGGCAAGGGAGATAACGGTAGACATGCAGTTCCACAGGGCCTGTAAAACTGAGCTCTTCCGCCAGGCCTTCAGTCATGGAGCTGCCTCTAACAGCTGAAGGAATAGAGGGCCCTGCCCCCTGGAGTCGCCAACAAAAGCAGTCTGTGCCATCCACTCAAAGGAAAGACCTACAAGCCAACTGTGAGAAGGGACCATTGAACAATGGCTTTCATAACATAATGATTACTAGCAATTTATTATATCAGATGGTTTTAGTTGGTTTTAAAACTCTTTTATGGATGCAACGAACATGAAATTAAGCAAACTACGGAGCACGACGGAAGACAGGGCCTGGCGTGATGTGGTCCGTGGGGTCGCGAAGAGTCGGACTCGACTGTGCGACTGAACAACAACAAAACTCTTTTAAATGTAATTTATATGTCTTATAGATATACTCTGTGTAGGCCGCCCTGAGCCGTCCCCGGCTGGGTGTGTGTGTGTAAATTTGAAGATAAATAAATAAATAAAACATAAATCTCATGATCAGACTTTCTTGCAGAATTGCTTGACCTGATTTTGGAACAGAACTATTTTAGGTTTGTCCAGTCTTGTTATGTCCAAAAATGTGGCATTGCGATGGGAAGCCCAGCTGCTCCCACCCTTGCCAACTCATACATGCAGGCGTTTGAAAATGAATACGTTCTTTCTGAGAGGAGCAATCCTGATGTGGCCAATATTAAACTGTTTGAACGGTTTATAGATGACATTTTTATTTTGTTTACAGAATCCAATTTGGTGGATTCCTTTTTCAAACGGATCAATACTTCACATCAACTTATAAAATTTGACATTCATTATAATAATCACACCATTAATTTTCTTGACACACTGGTATATGTAAATGAAAAAAAAACAAAATGGCGGCCCAAACTTACCATAAACCAACTGATAAAAATTCGTGTTTATTTTTTGGTTCTTACCACCCATATCATTTAAGGTCTAATTTGCCATATGGCCAATTTTTAAGAGCAAAAAGGAATTCATCTTCTGTGCATGATTATAGAGTGGAGGCAGAAGCTTTAGAAAAGCAATTAAGAGCAAGGAGTTACCCAGGATCTGTTATAAATAATGCTAGAAGTAGAGCTGATCAAATTTTTTGAATATTGGAGGTTTGGATAGATTGCACATTATATTATTACTTACAGTTCCATTATTCAGCCGCTTATCCAGAAGAAGAGAAATTGAAACGTCCATATACCTAGGAAAGGCGTTGTTCAGATACAGGACATTTTTCACTGGTCATCCTCTACTTGATTTGTGACTGCAGGAGGTCTTTGGACACTTTTATTGCATTTAAGCAAGGATAATCCACCGGTTAGATTTATGTGCATACCTTGTTATCAGTGCCTGGGAGCACAATGACTGTCGTGTTAATGTGTATTTCAGTGTTGGTGTTGCCATGAACAAATATGATTATATTTGGGAACATTATATTTGTTTTGGGTTGTAGACCACCAATTCACTATAGACATTTATTTGTAATTTAAACACTTAATATATTTTATACTCAGACATTTCAAGTGTATTTAATCTTTGATGATCTTCCCTTGGCATTTTTCTGCTGTTTTCTACTATTACACGCTAGGGATCCCTGTTTTGTCTTCTGCGTTGGGCTTCCTAGAGGCATCTGAATAGCCATTGTCCGAAATGGGAGGCAGGGCTGAAGGACCTGATCCAGCAGGGGCCTCTTTTTCTCTTCTAGAAAGTGCTTTGCTTCACATTACACTGTCCTGTGAATCACCTCACAGGTTGTTTGTGTCTCTCCTCCAGGGCGACCTGCTCTCTGGGAGTCAGGGAAAGCCAGCGGCCTCCCTGTGACCATCCTTTCTTTGGACAGAGACCCAGCGTGGGGAAACGTGTCTGAGGGAGCCAAATACTAGATTGTTCTGGCATTCACCAGCTGAAGATAGCAGCACTGTGAGACTTTGGGCCCAACTGACGTACACAGCAGGCCTTTCTTTTAAAGTAATTCTCACACAAAGGTATTTCTGTTTCTCTCTTTCTCCTGCTCTTCCTGAGAAGGTCAAAAGCTGGTGAAGTAGAGTGTAAAACTAGGGAGACCCAGGTTCGAATCTCCAGTCTACCATGGAAGCTTTGGCCAGTCACCCACATTGAGTCTAGCCCAGGGGTGTCGAACTCATTTGTTATGAGGGCTGGATCTGACGTAAATGAGATATTGTTGGGCGGGGCCATGTGTGTCATAAAATGTCTGGCAGTGGAGTTATAAGCTTTATAAAGGACTCAGATAAACACCATTAAAGATTTTTTAAACTTTAAATAAAACATGCTTAAAACACTAGCACTCTTGCCAGTGAAGCAAGGAACAGCCAGGGCTTTGTGGGCTGGATTGGGGCCCTCCGAGGGCCTGATCTGGCCTGCGGGCCACATGTTTGACACCCCTGGTCTAGCCTATTTTACAGAGTTGTTGCGAAGATGAAATGGAGAGGAAGAGCACACAATGTAAGCCGTTTACAAGTCCCCATTGGGGAGGAAAGCGGCACAGACTGGGAGGATCTCCTTATTTAAAACAAAGGGAGTTTAAGAGTCTCCCTGCGCTCTCAGAGCTAGTGTGGTTTACTGGGTAGAGTATCTGACTAGAATCTTGGAGGTCAAAGGTCAAATATCCACTCTGCTACGGAAGGTTGCTGGATGACTTTGGGCCAGTTGCATGCTTTCGGTTTGACCTGCCTCACAGGGTTGTTGTGAGGACAGAATGGAGGGGAGGAGAACGATATAAGCCACTTTTGGTCTCCTTTGAGGAGAAAGATGGGGTATAAATGAAGTAAACCAATCAAGAGAAATGTGTCTCCCTACAGGCCATGGAAGAGCCTCAGAGCCGGGTTCCGGAACGTCTCTGTGGGGGAGTGGAAACGCTGAAGATGCAGCCAGCTCGGGTAAGGGATGGATCCCCTATGAAGAAATGCGTGAAGAGAAGCTTGGTGCCTCTTTTTCCTCCAGCAGTGTTGGAAGGAACCATTTCTGTTTGTCTTTGTCATTTGGAACCTTTTTCTTTTGTAAGCTGCCTTCGATTTTCCCATGGCCTTTCTGAGAACTGCCCGGTAACAGCAGCCTGTTCAGGAGGCTGTGTTGGATCACTGAATTTCTTCCATGAATGAAAAGGTGGGGTGCCTGTAAATTCCCCAGGCAAGATTTCTTGTTTTTCTACATTGTGTCAAGTATTCCTTGAAGGTCGAGCTCCCTCCTGGGGTAACTAGAACCTCAGATGAAGGGTCTTGATGAGGAGGAGGAGGGTCCGTGGTACAGGACCAGCTTGGCATGCAGAAGGCCGCAGGTTCAATCCCCAGCATGAGTCTCTGGAGAGCCTCTGCTGATTTCTTCTGACCTTGGTAGAAGAATGAGGGGCTTCATGTGTTCCTTCTACTTTGGGCAGCAGTGGGTGGATTAGTGGTGAGATCAGTTGTGAGGAAAAAGTATCTTCCTTCTTTTTCAGTGTTCGGTTTCCTTCGAGGAGGTGGCCTTGCGTTTCACAAAGGGCGAATGGGCACTGCTGAATCCTGACCAGAGAGCTTTGTATAGAGAAGTCATGGTGGAGAACTATGGGAATGTGGCCTCTCTGGGTAAGGCGCCCTTTTGTCTTCCTTGATAGACAAGGAAGCTGTGATTTTTGCCACTGTTGCTTCATGTTTATGTTATGTTATTGAGAGCCAGTTTGGTGTAGTGGTTAAGTGTGCGGACTCTAATCTGGGAGAACCGGGTTTGAGTCCCCACTCCTCCACTTGCACCTGCTGATGTGACCTTGGGTCAGTCACAAGCTGTCTGGCACAGCTGTCCTTGAAAAAGAGCAGTTTCTGTCAAGAGCTCTCTCAGCCCCACTCACCTCACAGGGTGTCTGTTGTGGGGAGGGGAAGGGAAAGGAGTTTGTAAGCCGCTCTGAGACTCCAGGTGAAGGGCGGGGTATACATCCAATTAGAGAGGAGGTGGGACCCCTTTGATGGAGGGAAAGGATTAACCTCTCAGTTGAGAGGCTGAGAGAGGAATGGCTAAAAAGAAGCATGGCTGCCTTGGCCACCAAAAGGTGGTGTTCAATGCCCCCTCTAAGCTGTGGAGACTTGTGATCAAAAAGTCCACTTTGTGAGCTCCAGGCATTAAAGTTGTGAGTGAGCCATTTGGCTACTGCATAAATTAGTTTGCTCTGGAGCCATTCTTCCTGAGCTAAGACAGAAATGTGTGAGCCAGAGGCTAAAAAACTGTGAGCTAGCTCACACCAACTCAGCTTAGAGGGAACACTGGTTGTGTCTATCAAAGTGTCATGAACAGCTGACCTACCTGAAGAGCGATGCTTTCAGGATTCTGTGCTGGTTTCTGTTACCTGTTCATCTGCTGGGGTTAGGAACTTCCCTTCTCCCTTGTGGCCTTTTTGAATGTGAACGTTGAAACGGATGATGCAGGAAGGCCTGAATTTTTTTGTAGTAACTAGTCTGTTTGTTTCAGAATCCAAAACAATTCTGAAGCCGGACCTCATCTCCTGGCTTCAGGAAAGTGAAGCACCATTTCCCCCAGACCCCGAAGAAGAGGAGAGGCCGACAGGTGGGTAGTTAGAGGAGTGATGGGCCTCTTTGTCGGTTGGGGATTGAGCGGTTTCCTGGGAGGTTTTGAATGGCCCTGATCAGCCAGATGTTTTGAACGGCCCTGATTGCTCAGGCTGTGAGCTCATGTATCCCTCCCGTGGCTCCGCCGGCCTCTGAGGTTTCATTCCTCGTAAGAGTTTTTAACGGGAGGGGAAGGCTGAAACAGGCCCATTCCTCTCAGTGTTGATCCAGACGTGTGGGCCTTGGATCTTGACCTTGATTCCACCCACCTGGAAGTATCTCCTGATTCTGGGCTGTCTACATAGCAGGAAGTACTGTCCTCTACTTTGGTGGAGGGAAGGTGGCAAGAGAGACTTGTGGAAGGTGGCAAGAGAGACTTGTACACCAGGATGGTGCGGTGTCAGGAAAACAGGAGGTTTAAACAGGGAGCTCAAACGGTATTCCCTTCTCTTCATAGTTTGATCATAAGAACCTAAGAAGAGCCCTGCTGGATGAGTCCAGCCTCCTGTCTCACACAGTGGCCAATAGGCCGAGGCCTTCCCCTGATGTTGCCTCCTGGCTCTGAGATTGAGAGGTTTAGTGCCTCTTAATATGGAGGTTCTCCTCAGTCACCAGTCTCCACCCCACCTACCTCACAAGGTGACTGTTGTGGGGAGAGGAAGGGAAAACAGTTGTAAGAGACTTTGAGCCGCCTTAGGGGGCATAAAACCAACCTTCATGTAAGGTATACTATGGACCCGGTCACACGGGAGGTTTTGGGCCGGAAGAGGATCAGGGGCGCAGCAAACGGGCGCGATCTCACCGCAACATCTGGGAATTGGCGCGCACCCATCCCCGATCCGTCCCTACAGCCCAGTGCTGCGGAGCAAAAAAAAAAACCAAGTAAAGAGAAGGACTTACCTGAAACGCCGCAGCAAGCGCGGCCGTGGGATCGCCGGCGTGTCCGTCGTCGGGAGCATTCGAGGTTCCTGGCTGAACTGCGCGTGCACACGCATGTGCAGCCGGCTGCCTCGGTCTCCCGTCGGTGGCTTCCTCCCCGGCATCTGATCGTGCCGGGGAGCAACTGCGCAGCGGCTCGGGATCTGTGTGATCCCGCCGCCGCGTGTCTCTTTTGGTGCGGCTCTCAAAAGCCGCACTTTGGCTGTGTTTTTTTCTGCCGTGTGGCAGGGGCCGATGTAATCCCTGACGTGGATACCCAGGCTAGCCTGATCTCATCAGATCTTGGAAGCTAAGCAGGGATGGCCCCTTTTAGTGCTCAGATGAGAGACCACCAACGACGTCCAGGGCCGCAGTGCAGATTCAGGCAATGACAAAACCTCCTCTGGGTGTCTCTTGCCTTGAAAACCCCATTAGGGGTTACTGTAAGTCAGCCATGACTTGACGGCAAAAAAAAGCCCCATGCTACTGTGCAGTTCTTCCTTTTCGCATGCAGTGAGAAGGTGATATTGAGACCGCACTCTTCCAGGGATGGCTGGTCTTTGAATTACAGTCAAATACAGTGACTATTGGAGCTGCGGTGGCTCAAGTGGTTAAGACGCTGAATTGCAGGGTGTGGAAGGTCGGTAGTTCAGCAGTTCGAGACCCAGGATGCCGCATGACGGAGTGAGCTCCCGTCTCTAGTTCCAGCTCCTGCCAACCTAGCAGTTCGAAAGCAAGAAATTGCAAGTAGATAAATAGGTACCACTTCGGTGGGAAGGTAACAGTGTTCCCTGCGCCTTGGTGTTTCGTCATGCCGGCCACATGACCACGGAAACGTCTTCGGACAGCGCTGGCTCTTCGGCTTGGAAACGGAGATGAGCACCACAACCCTAGAGTCGGATTCGACTGGCTTTCAAGCAAGGGAACCTTTACCTTTACCTTTACAGTGACTATTACAGTATCTTACTTAGGTCCCGTTCTCATGGAGCATTTGCCACACTAAAGATACAGATGATAGGCAGATTTTCCAGGTGCGATCACACTGCAACATCTGGGAAGCGTAGTGCTCCCGTGGCTAACCCGTGGCTTCCCGCCGAAGATGCGGAGTAAAAAACCACCACATACGATGTACTAGTTTCCGGAAAACGCGAGGCAAGGGCGGGCGTCTGATTGTGTTTCCGCTGGAAACCTGTGACATCCGGCACCCACCCATGTCTCCTTGCAAACCGGATTTTTTTTTTTTAAGTCCCCATAGGATGCGCACAAACAATCATGCACATGCGCAAACTTCGGTGAGACAAACAAAAAATCCCGTTTGCCACAGAAGCGGCACGGTGCAATTGCCAGTGTGAATGCGCCATGCTGCTTCTTTGCCACGCTGCAGACTAGCCATCTGATCGGCATTTAATGCCTAACCACGGGACCTCAACGGGACATCTGATTGGGCTGCCACGCGTTACTTTGTTCCGGGGCAAACAGCCACGCTTCCCCCCGCATTTTCCGGCCCATGGGACCGGGACCTTACTTGGTATAATTGTTTTTGTACGTATGCTGCTTTAATACCACTGTGCTCCACATCCAGCTTTTAAAGAAAAATACGCACTATTTTTTCTTCAGCCTCAGTATCACAACAGTTTCTCTGCTGAGACATCCACTACTCTACTTGGCTTTTGCTCATGATGGAAAATTCAGCTATAGTCAAAGTAAAAAGTTCATTTAGCCAGCATGTTTGATTAACCGGGAGCCTCTATTTTCACGAGTGTTGGATAACAAAGCTGTTACAGTTAAGCAACTTCAGAAGTCTAGAATTCTGAGAGGGTTCTGGTAAGAATGCTGTAAGAATGCAAGAAGAGGAGCCCTGTTGGATCAGACCAGTGAGGGTCCATCTAGTCCAGCATCCTCTCTCACACAGTGGCCAACCAGTTCCTCTGGATGGCCAACAACAGGGCACAAAGGCCAAGGCCTTCATAAGAACGTAAGTAGAGCCCTGCTGGATCAGACCGGTTATCCATCTAGTTCAGCACCCTGTCTCACACAGTGGCAAAAAAAATCTGGACACACACGACTAAAGCAGATAAACAAATATAAGGTCAACAGTCGTGTTAGTCTGACCCGCAATCAACAGTCATACGACTTATAAGAATTGCTGTACATGTATTGTGCTCTGAAGCATTACAATATGATACACAACTTAATAGAATTTATAAACCAAGGTACAACGTCGTCTCCGGATTATTTACCAACGTTTCAAAAAATGAATCTTCTTCAGGAAATTTTATAGAGGTGCCAAAGTTCTCATTATTCATAAAAGCTAGACAACAAGTCTTAAGCATATCACGATTCAGATAGGACGCTGATCTCAATTAACACACAGTGTTTTTTTCTGGATCCTAGACGCTTTTGTTGTCTAGCTTTTATGTAAGAAGAGCTCTGTAAGCTCTTGGAGGATTGGCTACATTAGGGGTGTGTCACCTAATAGGCAAAGGAGTTCCTGCTACAAAAAGAGCCCTGCGACTGGTTCATACTTTAGAAAATGAAATAAATGAAACCATTCCTATGAAAGCCTTTAGTCTAAATCTATTTTGTACCATTATACTTAAATATTTTTGGGCTACTGTGTCAAAAGCTGGTTAGGAGGATTAAATAGTATCCACAGGGGAGCAGTGAACTCTTCAGAAGAAAACCATTGACAAGGACTGCCAACGTTGCCTCTATCCCATTGCCAGTGTAGAAGCCAGATTAAAATGGAGAAAAGAACTTGGTCGGTCTTAACTCTGCAGAAAAGTTAGCTCTGTTATGACTGCAGATTATAGACTTATTTACCCTTCTAATCAGGTCTTTCTTCCACCAGGTAACAGCCAAGAAGATGAGAATTATAGCGAGCGATGTGCGGCGTCTCTCAAAAGGACCAGCCACGAGGTGGAGGAAAAGCCTTCCAGGAATCCAGAACAGTCAAAGAGGCAGGAAGAAAGCAAAGTAGAGAAGTCAATGAATCAGTCTGTAGTTTTCCAGGCTGGCATCATCCCTGAAAATTCACCCCAAAAAGAGAATCGCAAAGGAAAGAGGAGGAATAAACATTCTGAAAGCGGAGAAGTCTTGAGATGTGAATCCAGCTTTTCTTCCCATCAGAGAATCCATGCAGGGGCTGAAACATACAAATGCTTTGAATGTGGGAAGGGCTTCAGCAGGCTCGTAAACCTCACTTCTCATCAGAGGATCCATAAGAGGGAGGAACCATCCAAGAGTTCAGACTGTGAATACACTTTTGGTCTGAGTGAAGGTCTTACTTCCCATCAAAGAACCCACACAGGGCAAAAACCATGCCAGTGTTCAGAGTGCGGCAAGAGGTCGAGCTATGACAGAGCTCCTACTTTGCATCAGAGAATCCATGCAGGGGCTGAAACATACAAATGCTTTGAATGTGGGAAGGGCTTCAGCAGGCTCGTAAACCTCACTTCTCATCAGAGAATCCACACAAAGGAAAAGTCGTATGAGTGCTTAGAGTGTGGAAGGACCTTCAGTTGGAAAGCAGTTCTCATTTCCCATCAGAAAATCCACTCAAAAGAGAAACCATATAAATGCTTGCTGTGTGGAAAGAGCTTCACTCTCAGTAAAAGCCTCACTTCTCATCAGAGAATCCACACAAAGGAAAAGTCGTATGAGTGCTTAGAGTGTGGAAGGACCTTCAGTTGGAAAGCAGTTCTCATTTCCCATCAGAAAATCCACACGAAGGAGAAACTGTATGCATGCGTGGAGTGTGGAAAGACCTTCCGTTGGAGCACAGCCCTCACTTCCCATCAGAAAATCCACACAAAGGAGAAGTCGTATGAGTGCCTGGAGTGTGGAAAGACCTTCCGTT